AATAAATGCGACTTTTATTTACAATTTTCCTTATTAGGCTCCAATTCCTTCTCTCTTCCCTACGTCAGAAAACTTTCGAGGGATATTTTGTCCAAAGGAACTAAATTTATATTTGTGTCAGCATGTCATCAGCATTATATTTCGTGCATTCCAGCATGCAATTCAATGTTCTATTATGGCGAATAAAAAAATATACGGCACAGACGAGGGTTCTTCCGCGCAGATCTCGACAGTTAATTCCCTATGTTATTATTGTCATTTTATTCACTAAACTTCAGTTCTTTATTTTTTTGTTTATATTAAAACTAACTGACCCGGCAATTATTGTTAAGGATAAAAACTATTATATCTTTCAAAATGGAGCAAATAATACACATAAAAATAATTAAAATTGGATAAGATGACTTTGGAGATTAGCGTGATTGGAAATCGTGATCCGGGATTTTTATATATTAAGATATTAATATTTTGTTTACACTGACTATTTATTATGAATATTTAAATGGAATCGTGGGTATGCTCATTTGTTTAAGAGTTGCTCATTAGTTGAAGCAGTTATGTTTGCATGACTGTGTTTCGGTTTGAAGGGTGGGATAAGGCAGTGAATTTACAGGGTACAGAGGAATAATACCTGAGTCTTCAGGAATGGCAACTTATGGAGGGTAACATGGGCGAAACAGTATGCTCTGTTATATCCATGGTATTGCTCATGTTTATAGGCGACTGTTACCACTTTCCATGAGGTGGGCTGTCAGCGTGTTTGCCATTCTAAGTTACATAAAAAATTATATTATTGCGTGTAGTGTACCTACATACTATATATTAGACCGTAATAATCACTAAGTTCGTTATAGTTTGCCACACAACATCTATTGGGAACACAACCGCAATGAAATATTCAGTATTTGCTGTCAAATAACCTACTTAGCGATATATCCGTCTAGGTGTGATCGTAAATGTGAATATGTTGTTTATTATACGATTTTAGAATAACTTTTCTATCATTATAAATGTGAAAGTGAGTTCATTTGTTACTTCTTAACGGCTCAACTTGAATAAAAATTCAAATAAAAGGAAATTGACATGAAATTTAGTTTATTAGAGGAAGACTGTACAAAAGTCGTCTACTTGAATACTTCTGTCCCCATCCGTGATTCAGCCGTGAAGCAGTGTGCTTGTATGGCTGTGTTTTAGTTTGAAGGTTGAAATATGGCAATGAAATTGCAAGGTATAAAGGCATATCACTTTAGTCCCTAGGAATCATCTCATGGACGGTACAGTATACTCTGTTATGTCCTTGGTATTGTTTATCTCTCTAATCGACGGTTACCACTTTTCATCAGGTGAGCTGTTAGCTAGTTTGTTATTCTAAGTTGCATAAAAAAAGTACTATGTGGGTAAAGGATGACGACAATAATATTATGATTATGCGGACGAAGTTGCGTGTAAATCCTTGTAATTAATATATTGAAGAAAAGATTCTATGGTGCGTCTCTTACATCTCGATTCGCCTCTTTGAAACTTGGTGCCTCCGGACGCCGCCTCCCCTAAGTTCTGCACTGCTAGTAGTAGTTTATACTAATATCTTATAAAACATTGCTATTTGAAACTTTCATAATTTATACTCGCGATACATTGAGTTCGACAAGTGTTTCTCGTGAATAGAAGTTTGTTACAAGGCTCATAAAACAAACTATTACTATTAAAGCCGACACCAAACATGAAGGAAATTTCACAGTACCTTTAATATATTAATGCTTAATTATAGATTGTATGGAATAATATATGATTCCTAAGTGCCTAATTAGGCAACGAGTTTACACGATGGGGTAAATATTAATAAATCAATAGATACTTATTTTATGTTGAGCAAGATTCTTAATATGCGCGGATTTCAGAAGTAGAAAAACAAAAACAAGTAGGAAGAGAAAATATATATGAGATTTTAAGTTTGAATTTTACGAACTCAACTGTGAAAATCGCATTTAATTTACACTGATGTATTATGCTGTGTTCTTCGTTCGTTCGTTTTGTCAACCGCAGTTAGCAATCGTAGTTAGGCTTTTAGAGATGTTTTAAGATGGACGCTGCTGCTCATCCCTCGCCCTCTCTTAGTCGACTCTTACGACACCCACGAGAAAGGAAGGGGTGACCTATTCTATGTCGGAACCACACGGCGAAAAAGATATATAATGAAGTTTATTTAAAATCAGTTTAAATATTTATACAGACATATAATACGGATTAAATTTACATAGGTGGTATGATGCATAGATATGATGAGGATGAGGTGCGAGGTAGGTCGGAGTGAAGGTAGATTTCCATAATCTTTCGCAAATATATTCGGCACACGCTGCTTGCGTTCGTCTTAATTACAAACGGTTATGATGGACGACATTCTGCTCTGAATACTAAATGAATATGTTTAAATACTATTTCATTATATTACTATTTAAAATCGTATGTAGGTACTTACAATGAATTATAATTATGGACAGTTGATCCAATCTTTGTATGAGTAATACAACAAAAAATTAATTATTCTTTTAAAGGACATTGAAAATTTAAGAAAAAAAATCTATGGTACAAGAAAGTTGATATCTTCAATAATCCATATTGTAATTAAGATTTGTTTATTATAATAAGTCTGTAGTTTATAAATATATGTTCGGTAAAAAGTTCACTTTATTTGGGTCAATTAAGCGTGGAACCTCTACACATATAAAATTTACTTGTACACAAAAAATAGGGTAAAAAGAATCTTTTCTTTTTTGAGGCTGGTCGAAATATTTGTAAATAAAGATACGTGTAGAAAAAGAAAATTACAAATTTAAATAATAGTTCTATGAATACGTTCTAATATCGAGATATGTGTACGAAGTGTGGATAAGAATAAGTATATTAGAGGAAGTCTAAAAATTACGCTAGTATTTGTTAGAAAAGTAGAGGTAATCGTTTGTCTTGGTATGGATATGGGATGCTCAGTAATTTAAATATACAGAGCGTTTCTTTTTCAATCTCTCTTTTTTGTCATGTCGTATACGAAAATCTTGAATAATAAATAGGTATTGATGTGTCAAATGCTATTTTGAAATCAGATCTAGTTTCATTCAACATGTTGCCCATTTTAGCACTTAGTGAAAGTAAGGATGGCGAAACGTACGTGCATACGTGACAAAGATGTTAAAGTAGATCTTAGTTTGTTGATGTGTACGAAACTTAAGATACATTCAATAGTTTTCGAGCTTTTATCTCGAGGTTGATAACGAAGTGTACGCCAATACCTATTCATTCGATTAAGTAATGAATGATCTAGCATAATCTTGTAGATAGATAGCGAAATTGATTTATCAAAATGTGTATGTACAAGATAAAGAGTAGGTGTATTTATTTATATATCATTTTTGTATACTCATATATCTGTCAGGATTTTACACATTGATATTTTACACAATCGTTTCTGAGATTAACGAATACTTTTCAAATTTAACTCTTAACGCAGATGGTACCAGTGTTATGAACGTTCTTAAATATAACATCCTCGTTGCTAGCCCGATCACGTTTTATTAACATTCATTAATATGTACAACCGTATTGAATTCCATTCGCGTATATAGAATTGGGAGTTGAGGAATAATTTAATAAGAAATATATATTTATAAAATATGTATGTTTATACTAGTCTGTGGTTTTGTCCATTTTAAACAAAAATAGGTTAGTTGATAGGTGATTTATTAGTATTTCAAATTAAATTCGAATCGAGATCGAAGGGGTAATTGGGTAACAAATGTCCAAGCATCATAATTAACGTTCACATTTATAACATTAGTAGTATTAGGAGGTTTTGTCATGGTTTTCCCAAGATACTACAGCATGGGGATAAAGAGGTTTCTTCAGGGTTGGCAACTTGTGCGTAATACCCCTGGTATTGCAGGTATTCATCAGGTGGGCCGTATATTTGTTTGCCCCCTCAGTGGTATAAAAAACTTACCAAGATTAAATACAGGTTATTCCTTAATTAGAGGTTATCCGTGTATCACATTACTGAAATTAGAATCATTAACACGGAAAGTATCGTACAACGGAACAAACATTAAATGAAACTTATACCGACCTTTTACGTGTCCGTTCCTTAATAAAACCGGGAGCTTATTTCGGGCTTCATCTTTATTCCGAATGTAGATACAATCACTGCCTAAATCGGATTTCTTTGATAGTATTGCCGAAATTCAGTGGTAGAAAAAAAGGCGAAGAATCGATATCAGTAGTGAACGGTGGTGAATCTTTGGTATCTGGGTGGGTAGGTATCTATATAAATTTATTTACCAACTGAATTTAATATGTAAAGACAGCAGAGTTAAAATTTTGAATTAGATCCTATTAACATTATAAACTAACTTCTACCCGCAACTTTTAGATGACGTTCCGAAATAAAACATACACTTGATTTTAAGTCAGATCTTCAGATATACAACTGTAAAAATTGCATTAAAGGTGTAGTAATTTTTGTGTGGTTCCGTAACAAATATACAGATAGACAAAAATTCCAAAATTGATTATTTTGGCTTGTATTCCACTTATTAAGATACACTTGATATAAATTTTTCTTAAATATCTTTTAAGTAGAGACATCGTCTAATTACAATTTTATTATATTAGTGAGATGTGAAAGTTTGTAAAGATGTGCATGTTTTATATATTTTTGAATGAAATTTGCTATACGAGGAGGTTATATCCTAAGTAAACGCATAGGATACTTTATATACTAATACACATGGGCAAAGTCGTGGGAACCGGTTATTATACTACATATTTTATAACAATATATTAACTTAACCTTTATTTCTATTTTACCTTTGATTTTATATATATGCCAAATCCATTCGACATTCATCTTAAATTAGGGTTTCTTAGTTGGCTAAGTTTTGTGTTGTTATTAATGTGAATGATGACAGCAGTCCAGCCATCTACACGTATTTAAAAAAAGAGTGCTTTATAAGGGAAACAAAAAAGAAACAGTTTCTTTCCTAAATTCTTTAATATCGTTTGATTTCATCACCGAGATTGTAAATCACACTTTGGTAAAAAACAACAAATCGCGTAACATCAAAAATATAATTACATACATCTAACGAACAATAAAACCTTCTGTTAACAATAATAAACTAAACAATCCAAAAACATATCTAAGATGCATTTATTACAATTTAACGAATAAGTTACTAAAATTGACTTGATTATTTCTTATAACACAGAGTAATGATATAGATATATCTTCATCTAATGATTTTAATGATACTAGCCATTGAGTATAAAGGAAAGATAAGGGTACTTTTGATGATAATTTTACAATATAATATTTTTCCAAGAAGATAAATAGGACATAAAGATTTAAGAATGTTTTGGTTTCTATTATCTTTAATATATTAGTACCAACTACTATGATAAAGGTCCCACAAGTACTTCAAGACTTAAGAAATGTGTACTAAATTTATTTTACAATCAACCAATTTCTACTTTTGAAATGTAAAAAATACATACCACTGTAAATACAATAACTATGTGATAGATGAACATTGTTCAAGATCTTCTAGTTGTGTATTTACACAGAGTAAAATACACAGAAACAAATAATAGAGATCTGGTAAAATTCACGGCACAGTTTTAGTGGTGAAGATGTAACGCAGGAGCACTGACATATCGATCTCTTTTTATTGCTTTTAGAACTAATCTATCACTTCGATCTCAATTAGGAATATCCTCTACATAAGGAATAATTATTTACACAAATGTAGTTCACACGTATAGCCTTATCGCATTCACACGAATATTATAGTTCGGTTCACAAACTTATATAACCATGTATATGGTTTATTAATAGAATTTGAGGCTTTCATTGACAAATATCACACAGATGTCGTGATTTGTTCAATAAGATGATGTTCACGACGACGACAAGGTATTCTGCAGGAGCCACCACGGCTCCAGGTGCTACCACGCCTTGCTAATCCTTCAGGAACACTGCGTGAAGGTCGCAAGGGTACTGTACGCCGATAGCAGTCTGGGCAATGAGCAGCAGAACAGCAGACACGGTCGAGTGGTGCTGCGTACGATAGTGATTTTGGTAAACGAGAACCACAAGAAGAACTTGGCCAGGCACAGTAGGCTGTAGCGCCACCAGCGCTACACGCACACCATGCCGGCTCACAGCGAGGAGGTGTCACACATGGGCACGCCTCAGATATAGCAGGTGCTGGCGCAGGAGGCGGTGGGTCAGGCTCTCTTTTCGAGAACCCAACGAAGAACAATAATAAGGCACCAGCTAATGTTGTTGCAGTCGAGAAATAGAAGCCAGCCCTTGGAGCTTGCTGGTTGATGTATCCGGTCACGGGTACACCAACAATCACAGGGATCGCCTCAGCTCCTTGAACAAAACCTACAAAGATAATAAAATTTTTAATTTGCACGTGAAATGACAAAGTAAATCTGACATGAATACTCGATACATACCCCAGACTTTACTAAAATGCCTTCCTCGAACGCGTTCCATAGTGAGCATTTTTATTGAATATAAAAAGCCTCCTAAACATAATCCATACATCCATGCAAATAGAACATATCCGTGATAACCTTCAACACTGATTAAGGCAAGCATGGAGATACCTAGAAACATTTATGATATTAAATATTTAAAAATAAAGTGAACAGATGACTGCATAAACTATTAAATTTCTAAAATAATATTATATTAAAATATAATACTGATATAAATAATTGCTATATTTTTCTTACCTATTCCCAGCATAGCGGTTTGGCACAAATATTGTTTAGAGACAAGGCACTGAGCCGACGGTCGCACCAGCACGAGCCCAAAGCCAGCGCAACCGAGGACTGCGGCAAACCCCAGAAATGTCTGGAGCAATACCAATGCACTCTCCTCTAAACCTTCTTGAAATCCTTGTAAAGCCTAAAAAAGGTTAACTGTTAACTTTGAGAACAGCAGACAAAATATAATAAATACTTAGTAAAGTTGGCTTACCAAAAAGAATACTGGAGTATAAAGCCCGAAAGCTGCTAATCCAGCGGCCAACAACAAAACTTTAGCAGGGCGAGAACGGAGAGGGCTTAGGTCGATAAGAGGAGGTCTTTTTAGGCCTTTCTTTTCTTTTACCTGTCATAAAAACAAATGATAAATGATAACAAGTGGATATTTTTATATTCTGAAGACTTTTCCTTTTACATTAAAGTAATATTACGTTGTAGAAAATATACTTTTTATATATGTAATATATGTGAGTTAATAAGTGAACTCAATTAATCACGAACGCTATTCAAGAGCACACTTTCGTCGTTGAAATTTAAGGAATAAATTCTTAATAAGCTTTATGTTTATGATGGAATCTTAAAATACTTAGAATGTTTATAAAGAAAAGCGAATCCAGCAAATAAATTTAACTTGATGGTTTTCTTTCTTGATTATTTCCTTAATTTTAAGGCCATGTATTTTATTTAGAAAATATAGATAGATAGATACTCTTTATTGTTTCCTCCAAAAGATTACAATAGTAAACTTATTATAAATATAAATTGAGTATCATAATACTGACCTTTCGCCGTTGATTTTTAAGATGCAGGATAGCACGTCTTTGGGGATGATAGAGAGAGGCACTTCGGTAAACAGCGCTCAAAAAGAAGGCTAATACAAGTACTCCTGTTACTGCTTGCAAACCTAGTCGCCATCCAAGTTTTCTAAAACAAGAAGTGTAAAGTAAACAAACCCTGTGAAATTTGGAGTGCCTGTGGTAAAAGTCAGGAAAATATTTTTAAAGATTAACAAAATATCTTTATTGAACTAATGTCAAGTGTATATTTTTAGTTCCGCTTAAAATTATTTACAAGTTTACACTTTACTTTTATTATACTCGTATTTAATAGCAGTTTTTAAATTGAATTTAAGTTAGTGATCTAGAATGAAACACTCATACGCATTATGGTATAAACAATTAATTTATCTCAGTATTAAACTAACTACTTAATAAAGTATAAACTAATCCCCTTATTCATTAGGAACTAAATCGTCCTATGTACCTATTTTAACTATTAGATTGTTTTCTCGCTGTCTTTCAAATTAAGAAATTATAGTATAATTAACTAATTTAACTCACTATTAATCCAACTACTTAATAAATTATAAACTAACCCCCTTCTTCATAAACAACTAAGACGTCCTACATACCTATTTTAACTTTTAGAGTGTTTTCTCGTTGTTTTTCAAATTGAGAAATTAATGCAAGAAACATTTTAATAGCTAAAATAAGTTTGTCATTTTTATAAGAAGCTAAGTAAGTTATCTATACCTAACACCAACCTATGCTAGATGAAACGCAGGTACGCTGAAATAATTACCTATTTCAACAACAACAACTTACCCTACGGCCTCTTTGTAGGCAACGCTGAAGAGAGCAATGCCAACGCCCCCGCCAGCATGTGCGACTAGTTCTACAAATTGTCGCCTTCGCCGAAAGTACGCGCCAAGCACGAGGCCCGCAGCTTCACGCACCAGCCCGCAGCCTATTCCTAGCACCACACCTGTCATAATATAGATTTCAAGATCATTATCATTATCAGTACAATAATTTATTGTCCATTGCCGAACATGGATCTCAACAGTTTGCTATAGAGAACTGTTTTGAGCTACCACCATATTTTTTGCAATATGAGGTCTTCACTATATCTAGCTAGAAGTTCTCCTGCACTGTGGTTATTCGCACAGTGTCGCCACTCGAAATCTTTCTTTCTTTTTTCTTCCTTATCGGCTGTCAGTAGTTATGTGGCTAGATAATTTTCACTTGAGCTTGTCAATTCTACATACTTGCATAATTTATATTGAAAAATCTGTTTGATTACTTATGACTAATTTTTAAGAAGTAAATACCCGAAGATAAAACTTGTGTATGTGATTTAAAAATAGTATATATATAATAGTAATGAGTAGTATTGCATATCATAAAAAAAAAATTAAGAAAATGTGTAAAATAATTGATAGTCTCAATTTGTTATACCATAACTAAGCATTGTTTGATGGAGCTGCGTAGCGAACGATGTGAAGAGACAAGCGAGGGGTAACAGCAGTCCTCCTAAGAGCGCAGCCAAACGTGGGGACTTCTTGCGACCAGCCACCAGCGCGCCTGCTGCCCGCGATACACCGACGCATATCGCTCCAGCCCAAACTTCACAGAGAAAGGAATTTAATGTATATTGAATATAATAAAGGGGAAAAGTTTGTTTGTTTGAACGTTTTAATCTCTGGAATTACCAGCCGAATTTGAAAAATTCTTTTTTCATAGCTCATTTTTAAGGATTATTCATAATTACGATTCGACCACGAGCGAAGCTATGTGAGTCAGCTAAAGAGTAAGCTAAAGATTTACTACTAACTATATATATACATATACTACATATGTATTAAGTAGTCAATAAATGACGAAATAAATTATTATGAAAATTAAAAAAATCACATAATATTTCAATGGTACCTACTAAAATATAAAAAAGGAAGTTTATTGTAATCATTAAATATGATATGAATAGGGTGGAACATAAGGTAAAAAATTTAGATGAGTCGAGAAATAAAACTATTAAAATTGAGCTAAATAAAAAAAAAAATAACATGTCCTGTTTCTGGTTAGATATATCGTTTATTTCTATTTTGTACTTAATATTATATTTTTTTCTTTCCTAAAATATAGGCCAATATAATTTTGTTGCTTACGGTAACATCATGATTACTGGATACAGTGCAAACAATATATTAATTATGTTGCTCACGTAATATACGCCTGATGTCAGTGGACGTTTTTTCTTTGGAACTAGCTAGCACGTTAATTGGGCGAATATAGTGAACGAGAGATATTTCTCAAAACACATTAGCCTGAATGTGAGACTGTAATTTGGGAAATAGAGCCAGCCGTTTCAGGGTTTCACTTAACGCAATTACCTACGGTGAGAGCTTCTTGTGCATTATAAATACCGTCGCACTCGTTTTTATTGTTTGGATTGCATCTTCTTTGTCTTTCTTATGAAGGACTTTTTTTAAAACGAAAAACCAATTTTGTTTTCACTATCGTTCCGTACATTCTTGGTTATTATTCAAAAAGATAATAGATTACTTATTCGCTGGCGATCCATATTTTAATTTTAATCAATAAAACATCATCATTAAATATAATCATCACAATATGTGTTTTTACAAAATTAATCGATGGCCCGGTAAGAATTAATTTGCCTCTTATTACGTTCTTTTTTCTTATCAGAATACATATTTTCTAAATTTATCCTGATAAGATAAAGAATAAATTTTTAAATTTTCTGTTTCTTAGTTTGGAACAAATAATAGAATGTCAATAAAATCAGACTAATTTCGTAGATCGGCGAGAGTTTTGTCATTCGGAATTTTTACATTCAAACGCTTATGAATAAAAACGTCAAATAGAATAGGTTTATTATAATAAACCTATTCTAACTATTGAACTGTTTTATCCCTTTCTTTTATGTTACGTTCCCAATTTGAAAGAAAGGGTTAAATGGTGTATAATTAAAATAGCGTTGCAGAAAGTTCTAATTTTTATGAATAAGAGAGTAAGAATTTCAAGAATCAAATAGAGTACATTTTTTCCAAATTGTATTTATTCATATACAATATCATAGTCATGAAGGTTGAGGGGTATCAGTGGATAATATATGTATGGCATATTTGGAGGTATCAACTCATTTGTAGGGGGTAAATGTGAAAGCGAAATTATTGTTTTTGGGAAGTTGTTGTTTATAAGTATAATAAATTTTCGATGGTTATCTTCTTAAATTATTCTATTTGTTTATTATGTTATGCACAAATTGAATAATATAAGATTTTGTTTTTACAAACAGTTTGACAAAAAATAGGACTAACACTGTGGTAAGGCATAGTTACTGCAAAAGTATTATTAAAATGGTGATGATATCGGATAATAATACAAATAATACAGTCGAATTAACAACTAAGAATACTTTTGTTTCTTCTACTTCTATTCAAATTGTGTTATAAAAATAAGCACATTCTTAAAAAATATATATACATAAATCAAATCGTTTGATTGCTATAGACAGATGCCTAGATCTCCTGTAGTAGAGTTTATAGGACAAAACATTGAATAAGCTATGAAGGAAGACGATTGTTTAGTATTTTCTCTTTGACTCTATGTATATAGGCAGCAGTTACCACTTCAGGTGAGCTGTATGCTTGTTTACCATTCCAAGTATCATAAAAAAACATAACTTTTGGGAGATTGGACGATCCCGGTTAATTAATATCTTCTATTAATACTTTATTTTAAACTAGCAAGTAAAGTTATGTATATACCGTATATTTATATACGTAATAAAAGAAATAGTAAACAGATATAAAAAAGCGATTATTCATATTTGGGAATGAGGCAGCAAAATGCAGATCACCAAGATCTGTATAAGTAATCTCCGGAGAAGTTATAAAAGTGAAGGCGCCAAGAATTGCTAATTCATGTTTTTGGATTTCATTATTTCAATAGGATAAAAGGCCTTATAAATTTGCACGGTTTTTGTTAATATAATATTAGAAAAACCCGTGATTATAACTGCTGGCGTTAAGAATCATTGTTCATACAATATTTATACACATACATAAATTAAATATACTACTGCAAAATACTTTTACTACTAGGTACTTCTGTACGGGTGATACACACTTTTTACTTTTTATTTTATATATGATAATTTTTTTGATAATATACAAATAAAGAATGATAACTTTTTTTTTCTATATTACGAGAATGTTGACGATACGAGATACAAATTGGATGCTCATTCGGCCCTATTTAGGGGATAAACTTTTCCAAATTAGGTCAAGTCTGAATGTTCTGGTACATAATTGGATTATCTTGGTTTGAAATAAGGTAAAGGATTATTAAGGCTTTTCAACCGACTTCAAAAAAAGAGGCTCCCAAATTGGTCATATTTTTTATGTTTCTCACCTCATAACTATCAGTTCTAAATTGATTCAGATTTTTTTTTATCTGAAAGTATATATTTACAGACTAGTTATATAGAAAATATTTAAATCGGTTCAGTAGTTCAGTTTTAGGATCTAAATAATTGGTTTTGCCATAATTTAAGTCGGTTTTTTGTGGGATGCAATCTTTAATCGTCGTATCGTAATAGTCCGTAAAACGTAACGAAATATTTTTAAATCCCCACTCATTTTTTATCTTTGTAATAATATAATCATTATTACTTAATACTTGTCTATTTCTCAAATCTACCAAGAAAGTGATTATCTGTAGGTAGTTTCTCAAGATATAATAATATACAATAGGTATATAATATAATAGATTCATGATTCAGGATTATGGATTCATAGATAACATAAGTTTTACATACCTGAATAGTATTAGAGGTACTAATACTATTCAGGTATATACATATATACCTATAGTTAAACTAGGTATCTAGTACATATATCTACCAACAAATGTTTTGAGCAAATTGCGTTTAAAGTTCGCTATGCATTTTAACAACTATGAATAAATTTACGTACTTTATGCAACAGTGCACGCTACAGTAGAACAATATATTCTTTAGTACACTTTACTATATTCCACAATTCTTACTATATTATTATATATAGTGTCCACAACGTGTTAGATAAGTTTCAAGAGATTAAGAGCTTTATTATGTATTTGGTCAAGTTCAGTGACCGATGGAGTCTCGTTTTCTCGTCTCAAAAGTTTTGATTGAGTAACTTCTTTTATTAGTTCTACTAATAACAATAATTTGGCTAGAATTTCGATATTGTAGAATTTAACAGTGGTTTCCATTTATTATACCCTTTACGATATTCCACAATGCATGTATATATATAAAGGAGATTAGGTATGTAGATGTATTTAAAGTACTGAATAAGACAAAAATTAAGTACTTTTTAAAAATTGCATAAATGTAAACATCTTAATATATATATTAATAAAAAATAACTTACATGTTAACATACACAACTTACTAACAAAAAAAACATAATTACGAGATTTTTTTTTAATTTTGCATTTTTCTAAGAAATATCTGTTTATCCCAGTGAATATTGTATTATTTACAGTTATAGGTAACAGTAACAATTTTTCATCAACTGGACTTTTAGCTTGCAGGTCACTGCAGGCAAATAACATAAGAAAAAAAAATTGTTGAACGAGTTAACAGTTAATTACCTTAACTCAAATCCAATTTTCATTGGAACTGAGGTAAATGTAGGTAAATATTTCCTTCATATAAACATTTAATTAAAATTGTTAAGGAGTAATATTAAATTCATTTCATTAAGCTATGCAATTCACGCCTTCACCGTAGCATGGAAAACGAAGCTTAACTCGTTAACGTCTCGCCAAATAATTTCTAAGGTGGTACCTATACAATTGTGACAGAGTTATGTTCGACCGCTCCGCCCAATGAAACCACTGACAACAAAGACTGCGTTCATAACCAAAATTACTTCTACCTCTTAATATTCGGCCTATGTCGTGAATCTCGGAAAATTAATTCAATAAATCAGTCGGGGGCGCAAATACCGGTGACTGGGAAAGTTCATTTGCTTAATATCCAATCTTAAATTTTACTTGTCAAAACACTGTGGCTTGTTAACCCAAATTGGGCTGTGATATAAAAACATTGTTATATAAAAAAAAATATTATGAATGATTTCCAAGGAAGCAACAGACAAATTAAGGAGAAATATATTTTATTGGGCAGGATTTTGAACGAAATCTTAGAAATATAAAGCGGTTAAAGTGAATTCGTTTACATAATATTGTGAAGCTTTCATTTGGTTCATATTGTTGAAAAACTTCTTTCTTTGTTTGTTTATTTTAATATTACTGGAGGGTTGCCGTTGATAGATTGCTTTCCGAGTCGAGCAGTTTCCTGTCGACCTCTATCTACTGTACTTCTGAAATGGTTTTCTGTTTCACTCGTACATTCAGTGACGACTTGACACATCGAAACTATTATCGTTTTTAGGGGTTTGTATAAAAAGGAGGACTATTGTTACGCCAACGATAACTCTACCTAATCATCTAAATGAAATAAAATACTGTTTAAAGTTTATATAATATTTATGTCTCTCGAATAGAAGCTATTCAAAAAGTTTATTAAGTATTTATGTTACAGAACAAAGGAGTACTTCAACTCCTCTAAATACGTTGAGAAATGTACTCGTAAGAAGCATCACCTACTTCCTCTTAAGTACCGATGCGAAATTGCGTATTTATTATTTTTGATGAAGATTGGTAATGGTTTCTTTGACAGTCCCTATCTTTTATATCAACCCTCTTTACGTTAGATTTATTTAATTCTAAGATAGAGTCGGCAAGATGCGTGCTGAGTCAGTGGTTCTTTGATATTTTATTTTTATTTTGCTTAACTAATTACTTACAATGTATGTAATCACTTTAAATTTAATGTTAATTGTACCTACGTATCAGCGATGTCATATGCATTTTGTTAAATCTTGTTTTTATTTGTGAAAACCTGTAATTGGTTTTTATTTTTACTGTTATTGTAAAATTTTATAGCGGTATTTTCAATAAAAAATAAATTAATAAAATAAAAAAGTGTAAAAGCTTATGCGGTTACAAATTGACTGGTTATGGCTAATTATGAATTTGTCGACTGTAATTGTACCCATAGTCCATTTATACGTTTGAAAGAAGAAATAAAGTTATAAATCCAATTTCAATCTTAAATTTTATGATCTGATATTTCGTAATAGTTTGTATTTATACAAATTCATAAAATAGAATGGATTCATTTGTTTGAATAGGTAATACAAAGTTTTCATTTAATAAGTAGACAGTTATAATTAATAAATTGGTCCTATGTCATATAAATGATTAAATAATTTTAATTGGAAATCATTATATTATAAAGACAAATTCAAGAAAAAGAAATAAAGTCTCAGTTCTCATGTCAATAAAATTATTTATAGTGTAGAAACACTTGTCAAAAAGCTACTTTTATGGGACATTTTAAAACGGCTGAGAGGTAATTTTATATGATATGATAGAGAGGTAATTTTATTTTATATGATGAAGAAAACAGTTTTTTATATTAAATATTCGGGGTGTAAACTTACCGGCGTGGTCAGCAGTTGGCCCTAAATGCCTGAGAGCGTACACGTGGAGCGCGCCGTAGGCTAGCTGTAGGCCAGTTGACAACAGATGTGCAAGAAACGCTGCCCCGCACACGATCCATCTAGAAATTGACACGGAATTAGAATCTTTATACTTTATTTTAGCATTATATCATAATCATCATAACAGCCTTTAACTGTCCACTGCTGAACATAAGCCTTTGGGGCGTTTTACTAGTAGTTGCTACACTTGACAGGCGGATTGGCAACCGCAGTTAGGCTTTAGAGATGTTTTAAGAGGGACACTGCTACCCATTCCTCGCCCTCCCTTAGCCGGTTCTTACGACATCCACGGGAAAGGAAGGGGTGGCCTATTCTATACTGGGATCACACGGCCAATATTATTAGCATTATATATATTATACTTTTAAATTTTATAAACAAAGAATAACCAGTAATTTGAAGTGCTATTTTCATATTAATTCAATTTAAATTACCATTTTCTTAATTATTAACATTTAGCGTTAATCTGTAACTTTACCCATGTAAATAAGGATTAATAAAATATGCAAATATGGACTACGGTCCATCTGCGTGTTAAATTACGTTACGATCTATTCTGCTTTTTGACCGCGAATAAGTAATAAATTTAAACATAATGAATGTAATAAAATACACGGATGTTTAGGAACAAAAGTTAAATAACGGTTATTATCCAACGGGTATTTATCCAAATTACGTAACATTATATGTTTTTGTTAAGTAATTATCAATATGCAAATACATACAAGGATCAATAATTGCGGAACGCATCAGCCAGCTTCTATTTTACCTATACAAGAACAATACCACAGTAGTTACAGATACCATAATGCTAATGGCACCCATATACCTACCTCTAGCGTCAGTGATTGGATACTTTTCTTACCCTTCAAACCGAAACAGATTAACATAGTTCGATCTTATGTATATATCTTACAGTAGTCTGATAAATATATAAGACTGAAACCAAACAGTGGTCTTAAACTAAAACTAAATCTTAAACTAATTAAACTTAATTTATTCAAGGTAACATAAATAAGTTATTTATTTATTTGTTAGTACATACTTCAGTAATAGACACCACTGAGATATATAATTAATGCAAAGGTCTTGTATATAATAATTCTAATAAAGTTGTAAAATGGGTACCAAAATATACCGTATACGATATAGTGAAATTGTGAAGCTTGTAATGACTGTTTTCACTGTCTTCGGTCTGCATTCCAATCACAATAACGTTGGAAATGATCCCCAAATTCAAAATACAAACCTCGTATTTCTATGTCTTCAATGAATACAAATGAACGTTTCATAGAAAAGGAATTAGGTAATGGAATCATAAACAAAGACGCAAGTTTGGGTGGTATGCAGATGGTATCTTGTTTTTATATTTAGACGTGCTAAAAATTGTTGGAACCAAACGATTGGGCAAGAGAGATCAAATCTTTAGAGCGATTTTTAATACATAAATGTAAAAATGAATTTATCATTATCATAATAAATACAGTCATACATTGTCTACTTATTGAAAAGACTTCTCCTAAGAAATGCGATAAACAATCCTGAGCCGTGATTTTGTGTAACAGGTTTGCGTTCATTGCATGGTCAAGGTGCCATTCGAGAACTATTTTCCTTGTCGTTTATCAATTCTTCGAGTTACGTGGGTAGCCTATTACCACTTCAGCTTGCTAATCTTTCGAACGATATCGATCACTGGTTCTTTTGCGGATTGCCGAAGTGAATTATAACCTACTCCGAAACTGTGTGAGCGAAATAAACGAGAAAAAGGAACTATGCCCAAATTAGATATATATATATTAAATAAGGTACGATATACTAATATAGCATAGCATAGGTACTTTTCTATATGTGTACATTGAGAAAATTAAGAAGAATAACTTAGTAAAATGGATAATAAGTCAATAATAAACGATTTATTAATAACATATATTATTAACGTTGGTGAAATACACATTCCTGTTACTAAACATATATGGTTTTCATTAGAATTATTTGCTATCATTAGTATAGGTGCGAGGGGAGAAAGAGATTGTTACTAATGCGAACTATCAGTCCCATCGTTATTAGGTCGACCTCCACGCGGTTCCCCCTGGAAACAATCGTGACTTATTTATCGTTGAATTCATCACGATGGGCTTACTGACTTGCCTTTTCATCCTCACTAATCATTCCTCACTGGTGCCCCGCCATCGTATACCCTTAGCGCAGGCGGAGTTACCACTCCATTATCATTCATAAAAAAAAGTATGCGTGCAATCGCACGCATCGCTAACACTCGAAGATTGATATATTATCCAGTGATATGGACATCCGCAAAAAAACACCTAGTATATTCTAATTATAAGGTTTTAAAAAATATATAAAATACAAATCCCAAATTAAACATTTACATATTTTTAAAGTAGTGACTTGCATTTTGCAAAATAAATTATGAAGTAGTTTCTAATACAACATAATTATTGCTTAGTATATATACTAAGATAAGGTATTATAGTACGTATTTTTTAATGTTTTACAAAAATGACAATTAACATTTTTAATGCATTAAAAATATATGTAAAAGATAAATTGGGGTAGCAAATATAGCTATGGAGATGATATTCAAAATATAAATTCGTTTACCGTTCGAGAGATGAGATCGGCGTATCATATCAAATTCATAAATTCCCCCAGGTAGATAAATTCCCTGTATGAATCACTTATCTATATTTTGGTCCAAGTTACTATGAAATTGTCTGCAAGTCACAAATGAATATAAGTTAGGCATTTCTTAATGTGACATTTATAAATGTTTGAGAATATTTTAATGATTATATCGATCATTAGAATATGCAGAAATTACAGGCTAAAGTTAATAATCATTCTATAGTGACAAGTGACAAACATGACGACAGGTATTAGAGTAATTTGCACAACTAGAATATATATATATATATATATATATATATATATATATATATATATATATATATATATATATATATATTCGCTAAAATGATCTCTTAGAATATGTTTATAGTATTATATATTCCAATTTGCTACAGAAAGAATGTTCATTTATTGTACATTCATCATTTAATCATCTTGTCTTTATACCATTATGTAGGGTCGGCGCAGTACATTTTCCTTTTCCATTAATTGATCCCTATTAGCAGTTACATTCACTATTTTCTTACTCTGTTACATCTGTTTTTTTTTTATCATTTTCGTTTAGCTTTATTATCTGTTAAAGGTATCTATTAGGTATACTAGTTTATTTTTAATAATTCACGATAATTCAAGAAACTGCAGCATGGGGTTTTTCAGAAGGGGGATAAAGAGGTTACTTCAGGATCCGCAACGCGCGCGTAATACCCCACGAATTGCAGGCGATCATAAGCTACGGTAACCGTTTACCATCAAGTAGGCCGTATACTTGTTTGGTATCTTAGTGGTATGAAAAAAAACCATAGGCTTATATTTCTTCAATAAACGTCTAAATACAATACAATCATATGTTGGCAAGACAAACTAGTCATGACTACGATGCAATCTCTTAGCCGCTTTATTCTGTGACGTTTTTCAGGAGAGATATACTGTGCCAGATGTGAGATAAATTATGTCACGCTTGCTTGCTATACAGCTGTCATAGTAAAATCTCACAAACTATGCTGCCAAAAACGTAGGCAAAAATTACATTTTGTTTGTAGAGAGTATACAATGTAAGTACATGATCTTCTTTCTATAATAATATACAATATCTTACCGATATGGATGTAATCGAGTATTTTCATGGAATTTATTAAGATTAAAAACTCTTAATGATTATCGTGGTATATAATAAGTTGTTAATAAGTTCAATCATAGTATGTTCAATCTTCGATCGAATCAATTGTGATATCACCTAGTAGTTGTAGTAATACCGTAAGTTGTAGTAATATCGTAAGTGTAATTTACAAAGCTTTTTTTTTATACAACTTAGAATGGCAAACAAGCTTGACGGCCCACTTGATGGAAAGAGGTAACCGTCACCTATACACATGAGCAGTACCATGGACATAACAGAGTATACTGTTTCGCCCATGATACCCCCCATGCGTTACCATTTCTGAGGACTCAGGTGTTATTCCTCTGTACCCTGTAAATTCACGCCATATCCCACCCTTCAAACCTAAACACAGCCATGCAAACACGATTTGTACATTGTTTTTCTACCACTACTTATTATATATGTGTATATATAATACTACTTTCATCCCAGTTAATAATCAATTTATCAGTAAAATTTATAAACGGAAAAAACTTTCGGGAAAAAGGTAAGCTGTAAGGTGCATGTAGAATGTAGGTGTCACAAGCTTATCTGAGTAACTTTTTGGTATCAAATTTACAATATCATTAAATATGTAATTCAAATAATTAAGGATAAGTTATATTAGTTACATTAAATTTAGTTGGTCGCTTATGAATAAAGATTTTGAACAGTTCCGATGTTAGTTGTATATAATTCATTTTATTACATACGTGAATACCTAAATTGGCCTATTGTTATAATTAAAAACTGTATAGGTAATATACAATAATAATATATACAGAGTGATTATAAAATGATTATATATAATCCTATTTTCTAGTTAATATTATAAATGTGTAAGTTTGTTAAGATGTTTGGATGTTTTTCACTTAATCACCCTTAAAAGACTGAACGGAATTAAATGAGATTTGGAACACTGGTAGGTTACATCTTAATTTATAGGAAACTTTATATAATGGTTCATATAAGTAACACTAGGATATAGATAGTACTGTCCTATACATATAAGAAGTTTATTAATACATTGTAGAAACGAGTCACCAATAATGGTTACATTATATTATAAAATTAAAAGTACTCGTAACCGGCGAGCGTGTATGAAAAGATTGATGAATGTGGAAGAAGCGAAAGAGGTTTGTTTGAATCGAAGCATTTGGCGTTCCATTGTTTCTGCCTACCCTAATAGGAGACAGGCGTGACGGATATGTATGTATGTATGTTTATTATAAAAGAATATTTTTTTGTTCAGTAGAGGAATAGATGTCCCATATTATGCAATTCGGTCGGGTTGGTTAAGGGACGTTCATTAATTACGTGAGGTGTTTTTATAATTTGGATTCTCTTCCCTTTTCCGGAGATGTGGCGAGATCCCTCTCCCCATTTACGTGAGATTAATATGTAAGATATGAAATAATTAAATTTATTTCATGTGTTCATATATTTCACGTCATTTGTTTTTTTTTTTCAATTTGACGTGAAATTTTCATCTAACTCTCCCATACGTGAAATTTGGTCAGACTTCCCATTTAAAGCTCCTTGACACGCCTCCTTTGAGGACTAGACGACTGGTGTAATATAATTTTACGGCATTTGTCAGTAATGCGGTCTTCCATTTGCTAGCAATATAGGGTATATTTAGGGGTTAGGTCGATTTCTATATGGCCCCTCTTGGAAACCATCGTACTGAATTCCAGGTGTGTTCATCACGATGGGCTAACTGGTCAGCCTTCCATTCTCACTTATTATCTTTCATTAGTGCCTCGTCAGCGTATACCGTTAGCGCAAGTAGTGTTATCATTCCATTGTCATCCATAAAAAAAAAAAAACATGAATATCACATAATATTCTGTGACCTCTATGGCGATGTTCATGTCGATGAACCATGGTTGCCCCTATCCATCAGGTGGGGTTTCAGTTTGTTTACATAACAAAGAATATTTAAAAAAGTACAAACCCCCATCCTCCCTCAGGATAGAAGTGGTGTTTGATGGCCCTAGTGTCAAGTTCGCGCCTGCGCAGGGCGGGCACGGTGCGGTGAAGCGAACGCAGTTCTCGTTCGCGCAGCGCACCCCCCGTCGATTCCTCTTCACCGTCCCCCCAACCATCTGTAAAAAATAATAGCATTATTGTTTCAACTTATTTAAGAGGAGTATTCTTTGGATGCAGATGACTCAGAATCGTTCCGTATAGCATTGACATATTTAAGATTATTTGAGGTATGACCCCTTTAATAAGGCACATATGTGCTCATAGATATGTTTTTATAAAGCTCGAGCAAAGCTTGAGGTGAGCATCGAATTATTCTGGGATGAACGCAGACCTCATGAGAGGCGGGCTTCCCCATAAATATACCTCTGATCTATAGACAGTCTATACATAGAGGAGATCTAAGTATGTTCAGTTCAGATTCAAAAATATATTAGTGCCTATTTTCATCATACTGTGGATGCTATTACGATAGATAAATTATTTTAAAAGAACGATGAAATAGAATGGAAGAGATTTTCAATTACATTGTATTGTTTTGTGTGTACATTACATGATATTTTGATAAATTTTAAACTGATTTTAATATTTATTTTCAAATCAATATGATTGTTCAAAATATTCAATTTCTCTTAATTAAAGTACTTTAGAAAAAAAATTATCAGCTATATCCCGTAGTTTTGCCCACGTCAATCAGTACATAAAATATTCTATGTGCTCAGTTAGGATTTAATCAGGTAATTTACGTGGGAAGTCCGTTTAGTAGTTTTTACGTGAAAGAGTAACAAACGTCCATCCATCTATCATTACAAACTGTTGCATTTATAATAGTAACACGATATCAATTTATAGGAATATTTTTCATACATTTGTTAGTGAATTATCTGTCTTCAAAATATTTGTCAATTGACGATACCTGTCGGTCAATTTCAAATCGAAATAAAACTTACAAAATATAGTGTATATTGGTTACAGTATTCCCATCATTAAACCGGTGACGGCTAAGTACAATGATTTCTTTATCGTCTTAGTTGTCAATTTTGTGGATCTTTATGAGAAGGAGCAAATTTTTTTTTTTTACAACACAGGGGGCAAACGAGCATGCGGCTCACCTGATGGTAAGTGACTACCGCCGCCCATGGTTACCCACAACACCTACGAGATTGCAGGTGTGCTGCCGGCCTTTTGAAAAGGAATATGCTCTTTTCTTGAAGGTAAGTTCGATCCGTAGCAACAATACTGTTGCTACGGATCGAACTTACCTATACGGCTATACAGCCGTAGCCCTAATTTAATAATCTTGAGGGCCTACCATGAAATATTTTCCGAAATTTTGGGGCCGAACGAAATACAAATTTGACGGTAAAATTACATAATATATACTGTTCAAAAATATTAAAACATCGTTCCTTTAGACTTTTATGGTGCGATTTATGACGAACAAAATGTTAAGCTACATTTATTGGGCCAATTTCGGAATGAACAATAACACCAATTTGAGTCCGAAAATTCAAAATTTTATTTCATGGTAGACCCCTTGCTTAGTACACGTTGAATAAGCCTCCGTTGTTAGATTAATCATGTGTATAATTCGCCAGATACATTTGTATTGCCAAAAAAGTTTTTTGGCTAGATCAGCACAATCAGCAGTAATGGTATTTAGGCGAAGCTGTATCCTCGTAACCCTAGTACATTAGTTATAATGGAAATCTTTTTCAAAACAAAACAAACAATATAATAAATAAAAATACGATCGGCTGGCACATTAATAAGTAGCTGTATATCAAAGTATGGATTTCAATTTCAAATGCTATCTTATAAACGTCAAATATATCTGTTTGGTTAAGTCTCGATTGTGTATTTAAACCACGCGAAAGTTTAAAATAAACATTTTCTTGTTCAGAAGTAGATTAATAATTGAACCCAGTAAGTAATAAATTTAGAATTTTAACCTTTTTTGATGTGATTGCATAATATCTTAGATAAATAATTGAAATGTAATATGGTCTTATTTAAGGACCACACAAAACAACAACTATTTACTGTATACAAAATTCTAATTTAATGTTCAATCTCCTTTTTACTGAAATCATTACAAAATAATGTATTATAATTGTTGTCTATTATAAATATTGTAATAATTTGAACATAGAATCCCGAAATAATTAAAGTATAGGCAAGAGAATTATGTGCAATCATTATAGTCACGCATTAGCATGACACGATGGGCGTCAGTTGCAGATAAAGTATGAAATTGTTCTTTGAATGCTCATTTATTGTATAAGAAATTATCCTTTTAATATGGTATGGCTCATTATACTCTATTAATTGTATACTTGACAGTAAATATTTATAGACCTTATTGTAATTTACTATAAATTTTCAGTTAAACTTTCGAGCGTGTCTGTCCAGACAGTAGAGGTAAAATCACTATATATGGATTCATTATTATGAGAGGTTTTCCCAAGAGACTACAGCATGAGGTTCTTCAAAAGGGGGATAAAGAGGTTTCTTCAGGGTCGGCAACGCGCGCGTAATACCTGTGGTATTGCAGGCGTTCATAGGCTACGGTAACCGCTTACCATAAGGTGGGCTGTATGCTTGTTTGCCACCTCAGTGGTATAAAAAAAAAGAGATTACAGAGTAATAAATATTCCAGATCCGCTATATTACTAATAAATATGAAAAATTGTCTGTTATTTATATAGGTAATTTCAATTTCGTAGCGGTTTATATTGACAATTTGTTTCTGTACTATAGAAACAAATTGTCAATTTTTTGAGAATAATGAGTTATATATTATACATTGTTTTGATTAATCAATTTAGTAATGTTACCCATAAAATTCATGCTGTAGCTTTATTTTAGTGAAAGGATTTTTAGAAAATGCTTAACTTTCTGTGTTAGTTTATTGTGTAATGGTGTAATATATTTATAATGTTAGTAGTTTCAACAGTGCGACAATGAGTCAGTCAGTATAACTCTCCTGTGACCCGTTTTCAGTTGTGGGCTGTTAATGGGTTGTTAAGGAAAGATCTCAAAATATCCCTTTCTATTTTATTTTGGTACTTACCGCTATGTATATTTTAAAGATATAGGGTAAAATGAAATCATTAGCATCTTTTCCATCAAAGAAATCAACATACATATATAGCAAGCACAAATTTAAATCTTCTTATACAATTTGATAGCTGGACGTACCGTATTAGTAGGTTCTTTTTTTTTAATGGATGATGATGGTATGGTAACCCCGTCTGCGCTATCGGTATACAATGGCGGGGCAGCAGTTATAGATGACTAATGAGGATGAAAGCAGGTCAGTTAGCCCATCCTGACGAATTCAACTAGAATTATCCACGACGGTTTCCAGGGGGAACCACGTGGAGGTCAACCTGACAGGGTATATTGCTAGTATTAGGGCTATTTGACCCCATTACTAACAATCCCTTTTCCTCCCGTATTAGTAGGTTAGAAATTGTTGTTTTAAGATTTATGTTTCCTCGGGGAAAAAAATCTTGTGGTCGTGAAACTGCCTCGAACACCATAGATTAGCTTAGTTTAAACCAGTAGGAGTTCAGCAATACTCACTCATTTCCATCGGCACGAGTGGGTAAACGTTTCGTGGAAATCTGTGGGTATTGGATTCTAGGTCACTGCTAGAGGTGAGTGAATATTCAGTCTAGACGGATTTATTTTATTTCTAGATTTATTTCCCTAAATAAAATAAAAGTAGATTATTTATCTAAATGAATGTTAATGATTTTGTTCTAGGCTTTATATGTAAAAAAAGTACCATGTACCATAGTGCGGTAGACAGTTGTAGCTGGTGGAGAGCGGTTGGCGACAGCGGCAGCGCGGCGGCGGGGCGCGGGGCGGCGGCGGCGGCGAGGCCGACGGCGACGGTGACCACCAGCCCGGTTCCATCAGCCGGCCATGGCTGCACCCGCACCCGCACCCGCGCCCGCGCTACCTGCACACAAATATCAAGCACGAATTTAAGTAATATACGCAAATAATAGAAAAAAAGCTTTTTCCAGTTGGTACATTAACCAATAAGTTTAATAGTTAAGAATATATCGTATCTTATTAATATAATGAAATTATAACAAAACGATTATAAGAGGCGCTTAAGAAGAACTGTCTGTTTGTATGTTTATTTTGGTATCACGCAAAAGTTACTGCACCAAATTAGATGCGGTTTTCACAGTTGTATTCCTTAAGGTCTAACTTAAAGTTATATTCTTTATCTTGATTCACCATCTGGAAGAGGTCTATTTTATAAGAATTCTTACGTATGGATTTTAAAAGTCGGAAAAATTTCTGACATACGCGTACGAAGCAGCGGACAAAAAGCTTGTTTAGTATATTTACAGAAAATACAACGAAACTGAAAGTCACCTCCTTTTCCAATAAAGTTTATTAATGACTGACGGTTCAGTGTCCTATTAAATCAGCTGATCGACAGCGTAGAACTATCGTGATTTATAAATACGCAGGCCGATGTTACTGTAGCACCCCAAGGTAACATCGCGTAGCAAGTCTTAAATCTTCTGCTGCTTTTGAATAATTTCGTTAAATTCAAATATGTCTGACAGAATATTGTCAAGTCAAGTTTTACATTCATCTTGACGGTATGAACTGTAATAGCCATAAAGTAATATAAGATTATGTTCAAGAAAAATATAGGGAATTCAATCGTAACAAAATTAATGTAGAGCTAACATGGCAATAAAATCAATCGATTGGTAAAAGAAATTTTGCCAATTTGGCAAAAAAAATGCCATCCTCCCCAAAATGGCAAGCGGTGCCTTTTTGGGGAGGATGGAATTACAGTAGAGCTTCTGTGAGCGGGTGGAAAACCCCTACAACCCCTACAAGTCCTTCAGAAGTTATTTAATTTCGTCATTCATAAGTAGGTATGTTATACCCGAGGTGTGGAGCAGAGGTGCGATAGTCCTGTTCTTCAAGAAGGGTGACAATACCCTATTGAAGAATTATAGACCGATATCCCTTCTGAATCGTGTTTAAGTACTATATTCGAGAGTCCTGACCAATTGTCTTACGTGCAAACTCGACGACTTCCAGCCATACATACACTACGGCAAATTATGCAGAAGATCGAAGAGCCTCTCTGCCACTATGTTTGGCGTTTCTGGACTATGAGAAAGCATGGGAAGTACTACAGTCCCTCCAGCGGTGCCAGATTGACTAAAGGTATATCGAAGTGTTGAAGTGTATGTACAGAAAGGCTACGATGTCTGTCCGAATACAGAACCAAAACACGAAACCCATCCCAGTGCAGAAAGGTGTAAGACAGGGTGACATCATACCCCTGAAACATTTTCAGCTGCATTGGAAGATATTTCTTCTATTAACTCTTGGACTGGAAATGATGTGGTATAAATATTAAAGGCGAATACATCACTCCCCTTCAATTGTGTGCAAAAGCTCCAAATTACTCAGCAAGCTATGGAAAAGGGCTATGCTCAGAGTTTGCGTGATAGAATTCGAAACGAGGATATTCGCAAAAGAACCAAAGTAACCAAGATAGCCTGAAGGGTAAGTAAGCTAAAATAGCAATCGGCTGGTTACATAGCTCGAAAAACTAACCGATGCGGAAGAAAGGTTTTTGAGTGGCGACCCCGTACGGGAAAACTCAGTATAGGACGACCTCTACTGGATGGAGTGACGACCTCAATCAAATACATTGCAGGGATAGTGGATGCAGGTGGCTCAGGACTGTTCCTTATGGCAGTCTATGGAGGAGTCCTATATCCAGCAGTAAACGGATAATGGCTGAAATGATAATGATGTCGATACGATAAAAATTATGGAACATTCACTTTTATTATATAATACAAATTTATTTATTACTTTATGTGGAGAGATTATTAGTTCTAAGTTATATTGGATGTACTGGATACGGGTAATATATAGCTTTAATCGTGTGACGTATCTAATAATTCACTCGACGTTTATCTCGAAAATGTTCGCTTTCGAGAAGAAACATTTTACGCTTTTTTTCTACACCTTTGAGTATGGACAAAGCAAGATTAATAGCTTAGTTGTACCTAAGGGGCCTTGAAACACGAGAAACCCTCACACAAACTCTGGAAAATCTAAGTTGAAAGGGAATGGCTGGTGTTGATTTAGAGGACTAAATAATTAAGGGCCTTATATAATGTAGTAGTGTCGCTTGTAGGTACTTTATTCTGTCGAGCGTTTAATCTTATACCAAACGTAATTAATGCGGTCCAATATTATTATTCAAATGGAGTATTGGAGTATAAATTACTAGTTTTCGGTCCATGTACTTGTATTGTTTGAACCCAAATCCTTTAGTCCTGTAGTTAGAGTATTATAGACTCGCAAAATTATTCATATTGCCAATTTGCTTATTACCATATTGCATATTTTAATTTGTATTTATTGTTGGGATTACTTTAGTTATATTAAACATAAATAACTGTACAGACATTCAGCTGTTGATTCTTACCATCTTTTATTATCATGATCGTTGTTAAAAACTAGACTAAATTATGTAGAATTTATGTAATATGTAAGTAACATATGTATGAAAGAAACATTGAATCCAAATTTGAAAGGTTATTTCTCTGTGATTTTTTGATTTTGGTTTATTTTATATTATAAAAATTGTGAAGTCGATAACCTTAGAAGTTGCACTCTCTCGTGAAGAATTACGTTATACTAGTCGAGAAATATATGACCGAATGTTTAAAATTCAATGAGTGCTTCCTGACCTGCACGTAAAACTATTCTGCGATAATATTGCTCTCCCGGTGCAAGTCGCAGCACCATAAATTTTTATGTAGGTACTCAATATAGTAGTAGAATCTGTTACAGAAGTGTCTCTGAAACAGAGCGTTAGTATCGAAACGATACCGTTTTGACAAATTAAAAAGTGGTTTTGGAAAGATATTTGAAAAAGTTTTATATTTTAAATTATATTGTTTTTAGACAGTTTTATAGAACACTTAAAAACAATAGGTTAATAAAACCAAAATATTTAACTTCCAAATATCAGATTCGATAAAAATTCGCGTTACATTTATGCTGTCAGTATTCTTGACAATTCAACAATGACTTCCTAGTAAGTTAGTTTGGTTTTTATTTAAGTTTATAATTGTTTATGTTTTTGTTGTAACTGTCATTGGTATGCGCCAAATATTTCTTTATTTTTTTTTTTATTTCTTTAATCTAGCACTGTTGCTAATTGTACAACACTAGACCGGATAATTAGTGCGCACAATTACTCTAACTGTCAGCTCTCAACTAGGTTATAATTATGTTCAATTTTAATAAATGAAGTGAAATTTTATTATTTTAGCTCCTAGTTTAGATTTATGTAGGTAGGTAGATAACTCTCTAGCTATCTACATATCCTAGGATATCTCTATATCCTAATATATTTTTTATACAGAAAAGTTCCATTACATTATATTCACATTACGCGAAATTATCTCTATCTTCGATTTTTTGCAGTATATTCGAATATGTTATCAGTATTTATTCATCATCGGAAGTGAATCGAAATTTAAATTGACATACAAGAACTGGGTTTGTTTATATTTGCGTTTACAATTGAGTTTTTTTTAATCACAATAATAACTTCTTAAGTTACGAGGGTTTCCATGGTAGTATATTAATTTTTTTTTAAATGGTATAGTTCTGGAGTAAGTATTACTAAGTGTAATTTTATGTTATATTTTTATATTTTAATTTTATTGATATCCTCGTCTCTGTGACGTGGGCAAGTCGAATGCTACGTATGTGCACCATGATTATAGCTGTCTCAGAATAACCTATTATATGATAAATATGTCAGTATCGGTAAAGTCGTATGTCTGTGGAGATTTCAATAATTCAAGTTTTATATTTCAATATTTAAAGGAAAACTAATTTTTAAAATATGTTATATGAGCACTTTTTAGTCATTCAGAAACACCGAAAAATGCCAAACTTCTGTAACGTTCTCAATAGGTAAGGTTTATAGAAAGTGATTCAGTTCCGAAAAGTAATCTCACCTAGCACAAGCGCACCGCTCCACGCCTTCACTCACGCTGTAAACACTGCCGCGCCGCATCCGCTGCTCGGTGGCCCCCTACCGTCACACTTCCGTCTGCATCCCGACACTTCTTCACACTATATAAGCCACATTATCATTATACCACTGCGCGTAACCGCTAAACTAGTTAGTTCCCCACCGTCATACTAGTTCCTCGCCATCTTATGTCTTTACGCGTCCCGCCTTCGCATCCTCTTTAACAATTTCGAAGTCACTTTAAACTTTTGTTTGTCATCACTTATAACACGTATTACATTATCTTAGACAAGCCTCACCACTAAATGTTTGGTGCTGAAACTAATCCATTGATACCTGAAAAGAAATAGAAAATGTTGAGTATTTTATTGTTTATCAAATATGTAAGTAATAAATATGTATGTAAATAAATAATAAATACTATATAGACCATTTGGTACCCATACCGATAAAAATATAATAGTTTCAAATATTATCATACCCATAAAATTATTGTAGTATTACAGGTAAGTAGCTATTCAATTTCATTGTGCAATTTACCTATTGAGTGTTCACTTATAAATGTAATAATATGCTCATTATTGGAAAAAAAATTCATAACTAAAAGAATGATCTGTACTAATATTATAAACGTGAGTTTGTTGAATATTTATTTAACATATTAAATAAATAAATAAATAAATAGTGGTATATTAATTTATTTTAACATATATTATATAAGTAGGTAGGTATTGTATGTATTTATAGTGTATGTATTTATGTAATATTTTATTATATATTTTAATATTTTATTTAACTGTATATTTGTTTATGTATTAATAGTTGTAGCACTTTAGCTGCCCGCTAACGAAATGCTTTCTTACTGTACTGGGTTGACTGGAAGAGATCTCTGTCAGAGATAAGTCCACCCTTGCTCACAACATTTATAAATAGAATATTTTATATGTAATTTACAAGTGCAATAAAGAATATATATAAATATTTAACAAACTATATGTGAATATGGAGAACATATTGTAAACATACATATACAACATATGATGTTTTATCTTGTCAAACAATATATTAGAGCCACACGTACGAAGTTAAAACTAGCTAAATATTAAAGAATAATACTATTACTTAAAAAAATTCTCTTGGCGTTCAATGAAACTAACGAAGAACACAATGACATTAACGATTTTCGTTGGAAATGTTGCATAGTTACTTGTTTTTAAAATACTACATATAGTTTTTTATAAAATATTTGGATAAACTGCAAAGAGCACATAGATATGTACTTGATCTATGACGAATTTTGTAAATATCGTTTGATCTCAAGCGTTTTCTAAAGAAATACCTGTGAAATTTTCAACGGCGACCCGAGTTTGTGGGATATTTTTATTGAACAAAAATTAGAATGGCTTCGCATTGAGATTTTCATACCGTAAAAATAAAGGTAAAAATAAAATCCTCGTGGTAATACCTCGAGAAAAGAATTTCGTGTTAATAAAAGGACAGGTTAGGGATATATCTATTGAGGTACAATAAAACGAAGGAAATCTTTGTTGTACACAATGATACTGTTTTCAATGAAATATTTTCAGAAAAGAAGGAATAATTTTGTAATCATTATATTTTTTATATTAAGGTAAAGATGACAATATCTACTCGGAACGCGAAACCTTATGGTCTTCATAAAATTTCGCTTGCAACGCATTAAAAAATTCCATTATGTACAGGCCATTTGTACAAACAATTAATGTGAAGCAAATAATTATTAATATCAAACCTGCTCTAATTCATTAGGCTTGATGATTAAAGTATTTTAGTTGTAGTTTGCGTAAATTCACCGAGTTTGAATTTGATAAATTGCGTTCGATAGGTAGATAAAACATGCTCGTAAAAATATAGTCTATTGAAAATCTATGTATGTGTGCTTGTATTTTTCTTATAAAATAGAAACTAAATATGATATTTAATTTCGGCAACCGAAAAGTTGCAATTTTAGGAAACTGTATACAAATATTATTTTTGTATTCTATTTGCAAAGGCCTTTCATAATATGATCGAAGTATTAAATTGTTAGAAAGTTGCTGTACATGGTGAATATGTTGTTTTATAAAAACATAAACATACCTATTCTTATTAAATATACATATTTTCAGGGTTTAAATTATAACTGTTTACAAACATAGCTTCCCTTATTTTGTTTAAATAAATAGATAGCCTATTATTAAAAAAAGTTAAGTTTTTGAAAAAAGAAATATTTTTTGTTTTTACATTTATTCAGTCAACACTTCTAATATTTGAATAAATCTTGTTATATGTAGGTAAAGTAAAACTTAAATAAGATCAATCTCATGTTGATATATAAATGATTTCATTAAAGTATCGTTTTATTTTCAGACATAATTTAAATTTATAGCAATATCTTTATCACATCACGTAGCGTAGTCTGACGTGATTGTGTGGGCGAATGGAACCGGGTAAAAGTTACATTAAATTGAAAAATCGGACGTAGATTACACACAATTCATGATATATCCAAGATTTATGTATATTTATGAGAGTATATAAATATGAAAGTGGTGTAGGGTTGCCAGATGCGACTTTTGATTTTTACCCGAATATCAATTTTTTTTTCCATATACATATAATTTCCTTTTTTTTACCCAGCCATAAATGAAAATCATCGGCATTATCAATTTTCACTATATTTTGCCATATAATCACAAAAAATGTACAAAAATTCAATATAAACAAAAGCCCTTCCTCATATTTCTAAATTTTGATGTTTTGATATAAATCTTTATTAATATAATTTTTTGTATTGTATTTTGTGTATTATATACAGCTAGACGATTGACAATTACTAAAAGTATTTAAAAAATTTGCCAAATTTCTCCGAGTCTATTTCACTTGTTTCAAAACTTTACTTCATGCATTACAATTCTCTAAAATATAGGCAATAAAAAAAAAATTTACATAAAATTACGAAAAAAGTACCCAATCTGGCAACACGAGAGATGTCAATTGACACACGTTGTGTTGTGTACTCACAATAGGGCATTTTTCTGATTAGTTGTGAAGCTCTAGTAAAATATGAAGTGGATATAAGTGGACTGATTTTCGTTAATGTTTCTATTATTTCTTTTAGATAATAAAAACAGTCGTAATTATTTCGTGTAGTATTCTAATGTGCCGATCGCTGCACTTTAGGTTGTTACTTTACTGCATTTTATCCAAATCTGTCCAATAATTTTATTAATTAGGTACATAAACATTACAACCACATATCTAGAAAGAAAATCTTTTATTTTTACAACATGAGTATGAATATTTTTACAGAGTAAAACCTTGATTTACAGGCTGTCTTTGCACATAAGGGTTTTACTATTCTGTGTACCTTTTCCCTAAATTGGGTCTGTCTCGGGCAAGCTTAGTTGTTTGAACAAAGAAGAAAATGACATAATACAGGGAATAAAACCACAGCCACTGAGCTTTTAGCATCCTAAAACCTATTGTAATACTTATTTGTGAAACATTGGATTAAGGTTGACATTTTTCCAAGTACAATACCAATTAAAGTACCCAATTGTAATATGTATGATTCCATATAAATAATTGGGGGTGTGAGATATTTATACAAGACGGTACCTATTCAAAATTAGAATTTTTGATCATAAATATAAATCTGACTCCTGTATAATCTATTAATATATAATATTTCTGTTGTAATAACAATGTAATATTAAAACATAAAACAGATGTAGATCATTTAATGTTAATGTAATCGTAACAAATGTTAACAATGATAGTTCATTTAGATATTTGAAAGCCTATGATGGTAGGAGGTGTTATACCACAATTTCATCAATACATAGTTACTTGCGTTTTATTGTGTCATATAGATGTAGTTTTACTCACTTAAAGTAGTGTACTAAGAACGAGAATTATTAAGCAATTGTAGATAGGCAAATATCTTACATCGAACATAGCCCGAAGAATAAGCCCCCACAAGATGGAGTGACGACTTCAAATGCATTGCAGGAAGTCAGTGGATGCAGGTGGTTAAAGACCGTTCTTTATGGTGGTGTATGGGGAAGGCCTACGTTCAGCAGTTGACAGATAACGGCTGTCCACTGCTGATCATATGATGATGATGACTTGGTCATCACATCATTCGTTACTTACACATTCGTTACACTTTTTTTTATTTCTATTTAATCGTTGTACAGTTTAAAAATGTTATATGGTATAATTAGTATAATTATTGAAATTGAAATTGAAATTGAAATTGAAATCATTTATTTGCTGGAATAAGGTACATTTTTAGGTGTTACTTTACAAGAAAAATAGTCCAATCTTATTCTGCCACACTGTAGGCGTGCAAATATAAAAACTTATTAAACAAAACATTAAAAAAAATTTATCATAATAACATAAACATTTGCAATAATATTTTGTTGTATTATATATATGTAATTTTCATCATAATTTATTATAGTGACAACTCTTCATTTATTAATTCGTATTTCTATCAGTTGTCTTAGTACACATTTTATATTCTCTTCTTAGACATAATAAAGTCCTTATTCTTATGATTTGGAACTAGATGGCCATATATAATATATCCAGTGATATTTATTTATTCATTATTTGATAGAGTAAGAATACCACCACTCATTGTTATCTTAATGATGTCGTAAGATGTGTCTGGAGGAACAAAGCACAATACATCAGTGTAAAAGAAGAATAACTATACTAAGACATCTGGGAAAACTTAGTAATGGATTATAGTAAAACCATAGCTAAAAGTTTCACATGTAGAACATTATGATTAAAAAATGGGTATACTTACAACAAGCTGAAAGGTGTCAAATTTTAAATTATTTCCTTAAAACTAAAAAAAGCATAAACATAGATTAGAGATATTGCTGCATGTATGAAAGATGCAAATAGATTTTAAATCTTAAAACATAACATTTACTAAAGTTAAAGCAAACGAAGCGAAAATCAGTTTGACACCGTTTTGCCTTTAACTTAAATGGAGTTGTTCTAAGAGCTAGTTAGTTGGAAGCTTATCTAGCCGTTTAGTGCTTAATGGTTCTGTTTGAAAATCCTGAAATATGTTCCTTTTGGCTTATTTCTACATATTTAGTACATTATTATTATACAACTTTCAATTTATGGTATATAAATATTTAAATATCAGATTTTTAATTATTGGTTTGATTTATAAGACTCGTAAAGTATTATATATACCTGTAGGTATTAGATAATATATAGTGTACTATATATTATCTAATTTAGATGGTAGATGCAGTAAATTTTTACTGATTAAATAAAAATAT